ACCTTCACTGCATGTATTTAGAAATTGAAAGAGTGTCATTTTTGTTTTTTGTTTTTAAGCATAGGGTAATGCATCCTTAAAAACAAGGTTTGCAGTTCTTGGATGCCTCTTTGGTCTCTTGCTTCTCTTCTGTATCCTTGCTTTCAACAGTTAACTTTTCAATAAGGTTGGCAGCAGTAGTGCCTTCTTCACTATCCTCAGTAGTTTTTGCCAGAGATTCAGTAATTTCTTCAATCTTATCTTTGAAAGATTTGCAATTTTCCACAGAGGCAAAACAGAATAGCAAGAGTCTCCTCCTTCAACTCTCCATATGCAAAATCCGCAGCATGCCACACACATGATTTGTCATTCCCTTGATGCTCTTGCACAGTCATTGTGTGTAGCACCAGATGGTTAGCACAAATCTTAAGGGTCTTGTTCTGCCTCGTGACAAGCCTAATTTTGTCACTCTCCTTGGGCTTGAGTAGCTTCAGTGTCCCAACGCCCCTCTCTTTCCATTGGCTCCCTTCCTTATCAAATCTATACAGCTTTGCCTTCAGATCGAGAAGGATATCTTCATTTTCTTCGCCAGTGGTAACATCCACTTCCTGCAGTTTGACGATAGGAGCCACCTGTGCCCCAGTGTCCTTATCTTCTGTCCCTAGTTTTGAATCATCCTGTTGCAAATTCAAAAATTGATGCCATCAACACTACCGCCACTGCCAATACAGCAATCCTCACCCCGTCATTGTCGGCACCACCACAATACCAACAACGCCACTGTGGCACCACCACTACCGTCGCACCACCACCACCAATCTCAATCATCATCACCGTTAGCACTTAGCACCATCACCACCATTCGAAATCCACAACCAACCAACCATCACAAAAATCACCTCAATAATACCTCCACAACAACGGATCGCTCACCACCATAAAATAGATCCAAACTCAAGCTAAGAAAAACGGCACCACAACCACGAAAAAGAAGAAAAATAACGGATCTCGGCACGATGCTGCCGGCTATCGCAGGGGAGTGTCGCCGCTGCTCACAGGTCTCCGGCGACGACGCGATGAAGGACGAGAGAGAGGAGAGC